GTTAAGGTCGGGGGATCAGGAAAATTCCAAAACTTTCAGCTTAGCTAATGGCCTTAAAGCTTAGTTGGATATATTTGTCTTTTAAGGTGAGTGGCGAGCTTACTCCCACTGATGTCACTGCTTTCATGGGCATGTGAAAATTCTAATGACATCAACTCACTGAGCCTGTACGCTGGTTTTCCTACTGGTCTAATGAAGTAATGGCCAGTATGAGGTATGGAAATTTTTCAATCAGTGATTAAAACAGAGATTTGGGTAAATCTGAAGAGTGCTTCATGTCTTGCCTTTGTGAAATGAGAGAAGACAAGGGGGCTTTAAGGAATGGGTGGCCACTCTGATTTACACTTGGCCCATGCAGACAGACAGAACAGACAATTATTTCTTTTATGTGCGTTTTCAGCTAATTCAGAAATTTTCTACTATTATTCGAGTTAACAAGCTTCAGGCTCATGGGAGGGTTTTCAAAGACCTGGTGAAAGTAGCAGAGAGTTCAGAAATGATAGGAGGAAAATAGAGGGTACCATACAGACTGCTAATTAACATCTTGTAAGACCTTTCACTAAAGCAGCTGGTCTAGTCACATGTTTAGAAGATTCACAGAATTTTTTAGAACTGAAAGGGTCTTTACAGAGCATCTAGCTCAATCCCCTCATTTTATGGATGGGAAAACTGAGACTAGTTAATTGCCCCAGGTCACAGAGGGTTCACAGCAGCACCAGGCTGACAATTTAGTGTGCTCTGCCTCCAATCCAAAGTTGCTACATTTGCTCCTAAAGTGACAAATTAAAGTGGTCCCAGTGGACTAGCATCAGACAGTATCTCTATTTTCTTAAGATTTCTTTTAAGATGCAAAATATCAAGCAAACAATTTGATTGGGGGAGTTGTTAAGCAATAATATATCCTCATAGTTGTTGAATCACTTTTACTATGTAGTTGAGAAATACATTTAACATGACCAGCTCTAATCTTAATCTATTTGGGTTGTTTGATATAACTATGCTTCATTTAAAAACAATTCTCATGGAATGCAACATTTTGGAGTGGGTCTTCTTGTTGTGGTACCGAAACATGGATTATGCCCCTCTTCCATGATTTCTATTCCTTTTGCCAAGCAATTCTTTCAAAGTCCCCTGAACTGGGTACCTGATTAGCATATTCATGAGATAACTGATTCAGCTATGTTAATTAGCAGTTCTATCTTTTTTAAAAATCCCAGAACTGGCAGAGAGGGGGAGCAGCTCACTCTGTCACTATCATTTCCTGTTCTTTCGTCTCTAGCCTAGGATGGTAGATTTCTGGTATTGGACGTCTAAGTTCAAGTGTGGATCAAGACAATTACTGTGTAGGAAAATAAAGAGGTGAGCCCTTAAACTCAGAGGTACAGGTTTAAAACATAGGAAACCTGAGAAATATGTTGCTGCCCAAGGAAGTGTTCTTCTGTACTTCACCCAGGTCTGAAAACACACACACACACACACACACACACACACACACACACACACACACACTCACTCACTCACTCTCTCACTGTTTACAACTTAAAAACTGACTTATAGTCTTTTTATGTGTGCAAACAATAGAAAATTAAACGTGTAGAACAAAAAAAGGACCTTAGAGATAAGGGAGATTATGATCTGGCTCAAAAATGCCAGAGCTAACACTTGAACTCTGACTGGAGCTCATCAAGGCAGAATGATGGCAAACTGGGAAAATCGGCTGATTTCGGGTTTTAAAAGGTTAATCCCCTGAAAGCCTCCAAACCTCATTTTATTTAAAAGTTCATAAAAAGTCATTGTTTCTGCCTTAGAAAGAAGTGGAATATCATAAACATGACTAAAGTTTTTTGACAGCAGAGGAAATTGCCTGGACTCAGGGTCACCACTTTGAATTTATACTATAAGCCTGGAGATGGCAAAACGTACTCCTTTGAAGTTGCCTGACACCATAGCTTCCCATGTGTCCTTTTGCTATTTCTTCAGTACTTGTCTTCAGCCTTCTTCGTGCCACCTCACTGTCGCCATCTTGGATCTCCAGCTGTCATCTTGTTACTCTACCCAACTTCCTCTTTTCATTCACATCAATAACCTGGGGTTTGGCTTTTAGAATGGCTTGGATAATTCTCTGACCAAAGCACCACACCCGTGGATTTCTAAGAGTCAAGACAGCCACTACACAATTCCACTCAACATTCTCTTAAAGCCTTGAAGAGTGTTGGCAGGTCCTAATTGCCATCCTTAAAAATCAATCAATCAATCAATGCAGTACCCACTAGAGAATTATCGTTTGTTGGATACAAGTCAACTGAGGTTTTACCATAAAAGTATTTAATTGTCTCAGAAAACCTAACTTGAAGGAAACATACGCTGTATCCCAGCTCTGTTCTGATCTCCAGAACAAACACATTTCAGCAACTACTTCAAAAAAATTTAATCTATGCTCACTACCTTTATTGTCTATGCCGTATTTTAATTTGATGTCTTAAGAAGCAAACTGGCATTTCATAAGCATTTCTTGTGACCAGTTTTGAAAGTGATAAAGAAACAGTGCTAACACATTTATTGAATGCGAAGGCTGGTAGAAAAAGGGCAAGAGAAACTGTTTTTCTGTCCTTTTTTCAAAAACATATGTTAACACTTACTGATAAAGTTTTTTTCTGTAGGGCTTTTTAAAAACTACACATTGGGCCGGCCAAGTGGTGCACTTGTTAGGAGTTGGCTTGGGACACCAGCTCTGAGCAGCAGGGCCCCGGTTCGGATCCCACATATGAGGGCCAGTGACGCTGCACCCTCTACAGCTAAGATGGTGAACAACAGCTTGACCTGGAGCTGGGCTGCCGTGAATCACTGGCGACAGCATAGGCTGCAGTGGGGCCTGCCGGCAGCTGCCGTGAGCTGCTGTGAGCCGCCGTGAGCAGCCGTCCAATGGCCGGCGAGCGACTGCCTCACCTGGGAAGAGCGCAATGATAATACTAACATGGGCCAGTGAAGCGACGTCCTCCACCACTAGACTGAAGAACAAAAAAGGACAGCAACTTGTCTGTTCCCCTTCCCAGATTCCCCAACGCTGTTCCCCTCCCCTAGGTCCCCAAAAAAATCTTTGAAAAAACAAAAACCAAAAAAGAAACCTACACACTGGAATCGTACAAGTATTGCTATAAAACCACGGGGAGTGAGAAGGGGACAGGACAGCTAAACCAGCACGCTCACAGTCAAGAAAGGTCACTGTGGGCTCCACACTAGAAGACATGTCTAATAAGAAATGGGGTGACTTGAGGGAGGTGGGCCTGGAACCTGCCAACAGGTATCTGCATACAGGCTAGCCATTTCTAAAGAGCAGGACTTTTTTCCTTCTAAATTCCATATTAATCATACAAGTAGTAATTTTTAAATATCAGTATCTCATGTTTTCAAAGATGACCATGTAATAATATTTCTAAGTTTTCCCCTTAAAGTAAAAGATAATGCTTTGGTTATTGTCTTGAATGAGAACTGTCATAATCAAGAGAAGAGCTTGCTTTTAAATAATCATACCGATTATTTACTGACCAAGACAGACATAGGTGGTCTAGTGATACCATTTTCTATGTGGTGTGAACATATTGTTAAATATGCTTTACAGCTATAGCATGTGTGTTGAAGGGTATGGGAAAATTATTTCCATCTATCAAGGGAAAAGAGGAGATAAAAATCACAACTAAACACAACTCTGCATACAGATCTGCATACAAAGTGTTGGGAAAAAATTGGGTATACTCTATGGTATGCTACATAGCAAAAAATTTAGTTCAACTACTTTACAAATAAAATATACTTTTGTGGTGTAGCCTGGGAACCCAACTAACACTTATTAAATCGGTTATAAGTTTCAAATAACAAATCTCAAAGCCAATATTTGAAATACAACCTGTTCTTTAGCTGACGACTGCCTTCTATATCAAATCTAATTTAGTCCAGCTTCTCACCATGGTAACGAGCCCTTTGCAGAAATACTCAAAGACATTTTCGCATCTCGAAAATTTGCCTTGTAGTTCTTCACCACACATAATGTCATGAAAAGCATGCTTCAAAGGTGCTATGTAATTAGAATGGCCTTTAAAACAGGCACAAAGAAAATCATTCCTATTAAAATTAAATCTACTTCATAACAATCTTCAAACTGACTGAACAGCAACAAAGAAAGGAATCCTGAGGTGTTTTGGACCCCATACTCTAGTTTTTAAAATCTGTTATCTGTAACATTGCTTCAGATATGATCGAAGTGCCTCTCATTTGGCTCATATTGACTCTTTGTTCACTGTTAAAAGAAAGTGTGCATGTGAGAATCCATGTTTGGCACAGGGGACTGAAATGGGTTTGGTCATGGCTTTACACGGACAGACTAAGCAGCTAAAATGAGGCCAGGGAAGAAAACCAGCTTGATGAAGACTATAGTATAGTGGCTACTTGTGGGTTGCTGCTGCATGGAAACTCAAGAACTGAGCTTTAATCCTATCTGTGTTCTACAGAGCTTCTAGGAATTCTAGTTGTCTTTGGGGAATCCATTTTGAAATTTAATTTGAAGTCCAGCATCTGCAGAATCTCTACGGTTATTTTGACTAAGTTTTCAGATGCCTGTTTTTTATTAGGAAGCTTTTTTTAAAGTGACTTGCGTCAACAACACTATTCTGTGTTCACCCAAGAAATGAAAGCATTTAAATGAAACCACTTTAATCTATTTTTTGGCTCCTTGTGACCATATTTCCATAATGCCTACCATACAGATTCTAGTGCATCCAGAAGGATTCTAGCAGTAATGCTGTAGGGCTAATTTGTCCCTGGGAGCCAATAAGAAAGAACATCTTAGGGGAAAACTTGATCACTGAGAGAACAGAGGCGCTCTGAAAAAGCAATTGTACACATTTAACTATCAGCTCTTACAAGTGACTTGAATAAAGGTGTAAAACAAATTCAGGAACAGAGCAAATATCGATGCTTACTTGGACCACAGTTCCAATACATACCATCAAACTTCTTGTAACGGGAAGCAAAGACGTCTTGCAAATGATTGCACTGCTCGCTGATCACACTTTTGAACTCATCTTTACTTTGCAGGCTATACTTCTCCTCCATCTCTTGAGAGCAGCAGGTATAACCCTGAGGGCAGATCTTCAAATGATCACCTGGAAGATAAAATGTAGGACAATCAACCTCCATAATCATTCACCAAGTCCAAGAAGGGACAGTTGGATTTAGGTGCACACACTGCTTCACTGCCGTCTGTGAGATTGCTGCAAAGGCAACTACAAATGTGTATTCCCTTCTCGGAAAAATAAAATACTAAAGCCACCTCCAAAAGACAAAAGAACTTCCCAATTAGAAAGTCTGCTACACAACATCAGTGTGGCCAGTAAAAAGAGTGTCATTCAATATCAACCCAAGTCTCTTTTGTAATTATTTGAGATTCTATGCAAGTCAGACAAACGAGACACAGTTTTTCTAGCTTCAGGATATGACACTCCAAGAGAAGGTGCCCCGATAGGAACAACAATTTATAAAATGTGACAACAACCAAAAACTGAACAAACCTATGAGCAATAATTATACTGGGAGGAAGCAAAGGGGTAAGTGCATTTTAACGAGTTGTCAGCCAAGAGGAAACAATGAGAGTTCATGCTGGATAATTTGAGCCTATGATAAGTCAAAGGGTGATGTTAAAACGATCCTCGGGCCGGCCGAGTGGC